GATCTGACCTAGTCTTAGTATGACATGTACAATGGTATGAATAATTATAAACTGAAAGTAACTGTTACGTTTGTAGTGATATTTAAACGAAAATTCAACGAAACATCATATTTGTATATTTCTGTATAAAAAATAATAAAAAATGGAAATATACAAATATAATTTTGTTGATTTCAGTAAAAATGTTGAACCTACTTTTAGTCTATAATTATGTATTCATCAGAAGAATAATACTACCTGATCCAGATTCATTCTTTGTATAACCAATATTATAAACAAATATTAATTATAAAATATAACATTATTAATTAACAAATATTAATTATAAGCATAATTAAATGTGCTCTAGCTTAGTACATCAAATATTCATGAGATAAAGTAATATGACCCGATTCGAGACATAGTATCTCAAATACAATCATCAGAGAGAATAATATGACCTAATCTGATCTTAATATAGCAAATTATTAAAAAAAAAATTGAGAAAGATGTAAAATATATTTTGCACGTGATTTAAAATTTGCAAACCGTTTGTGAAGATTGCGTACGTGAACATTGGTCGTTTCGTTCTTTGTATTCACAAAGTCAAATATTCAGTGAAATTTTTAAAACATCCCGAATATGCTAACTATCGGATGCCTACCTCACGACCAGCGCTGTCAGGCCACACGCATGTTCCGCTGTACTCGTCAAAATGCAGACCAGTGGTACACGTGATTTCGATAGCTTCGCCGTCGATACAATTGTAAAAGATGTTGCAAACAGATGGGTCCGGATGAGCAAAGAAACCGTTCCTTCGCGGACACTTCTTCGTCGGTTGCGGTGGCTCTGCGAAGGTCGAAGATATAACGGGAGTTAAAAGCACTTTCGCTGCCAATTGTTACTGTATCTCGTACATCAAGGACATTAACCGCAAAATCTATCGGCACGGCAACGCAAACCACAATTTTATTCCAGATATATTTTTAACACCTACTGTGTGTACATTTAATATGGAGAAAGATGCGATAACAGTCTTGGGCATGCATAAACTGTCATTCGAACGTTTAAAGTCATTTTGTGAACGATCGAGATGATTAAGAACTGCTTTTTAGCATATTATTTTTCAGCATATTTTGTAATGTACTCCTTCTGGACAGTTTGCTTTTTCTATAGACCTTAATAAAACATAAACTGTTTTCATAAACCAAAGAGTCAAATAAACGATATTTATACTCGGTGTCCACATGACCCGAGACTCGCCGTTCAAGTGTTAAGTGTAATTGGATAATATTTTAAGTTCCTTTCTTTGATGAATGATTGACGTATTTCATGATGCATCTACATACTGCGACAAGTTATAAATAATGTTCGTTTCTGAGAACGAATTGTAATGCTACATCTACCTTCTAATGACTCATTATAGTCGAGCTATCTGGTAAATGGCAACAATTCATTGCAATGAATGGCCAATGCGTACCGTTAATTAAGATACGTACTCAAGAAACTTAGTCATTGATTTCATTGGCAAATAAAATTGGTACATTAAAACAGTTATTATTATTATTATTATTATTATTATTATTATTATTATTATTATTATTATTATTATTATTAATTACGTAGACTTGGCCTAATATTTAATTTTATCGAACTTTGAAAAGTGATAGTAATTGTCAGAATTAAAATGTCAACAGCCCCGTGCATGTGTACGTGTAAAAAAAATTATCAAATTTGATTTATTTATTTCGCTTAAATGATCAAGTAACCTTTACAACTATTTTTAAAAATATTGTGATTTACTACGTTTGAAAGAGTTCCAAAATTGCTGCACTGCAAAATTGAGAATATTTTAAAAAAACACTTTATTGCAAACTAACATAATCTTGGTAGGGATGATGTTTTCTTAAAGAATATTTTACAGAAGAGTTAAAGATGAAAATTACCAGAATAGATTGTTTAAGTTTAGTGGAGGTATAAATAATAATCTTACGTAATTCGAGACGATCCCCACAATCAACGTTGAACACGTGATCGCATTTGTTGACCTTACGATTTAATGGATCAAAAACGAGACCATCTGGACACAGTTTTTCTGCGGCAACACCATCATTACAGTCGTAATACTTGTCGCATTGTTTCGGATGCTCGTACTGACCGTCTTTGACAGGACAATTGAACGCACCATCTGCAATATTAATAAACCATCATGTACATAAATAAATGGCCACGATTTATCGCACTCATAATATTATATTATTTCAACATAACATTGCATAAAATTATAATCGACAAATTTTGTTTATAATCGCGTAAGTTGGGTAATAATTAATTAAGTTTATTAAAATATAACATACAAATTTATGATTATATCAGAAGAATCATTATAATTAATAGTACGTTTGAGAAACAATAAGTAATAAATAAGAAATAAATGGCATCGTGATTCTCGTTGTCAATTTAATTATTGTAAGCTAACATATTATATATGTTAGCTTACAATAATAAATATATATATACATATGTTATTACATGACTGCGGATATTCGTGAAAAACAAAATATTTTATCATAAACCGCAACAAACGTTTCTCTTCAGAAAATAAATTGACTAATTGAACGAAAAAGTCGAAAGGAATATTCAAGATTGAATTATGTGCAGTTTTCACAGATTTTTACAAGTTTCGTGTTTTATAAATATCATTTAAAAATGTATAATAAATATTTATTAAATTGTATAATAAAATTGTATGAAAAAAGTTGTACGATTTTAAAAATGAAAACGTATTTCGTAATTATTCGATTGATATAAAATATGAATTATTAATACGTATTGTACGATTAATATAAAATAATATGAATTGTTATCGGAACAAACCAGTTCCCGTTCGTATTCAATCGCCAAAAATGATGTGTTTCTGAAGCGATAGGGACCAGATAAATAAATCCCAACGGACGATATAGTTCACGGCGTATTCGATTCACTTCACAAAATTCGAGAGCGCATATATCGAGGCAGAAGGTAAAGAAATTTCAGAAATTTCTCCATGTTACATGTCGGCATTTACTTTGCAAGATATACCGGAAATCAATGCCACGCTCCAAGAAGCATATAAAGCAGCTCGGCGAATAGTATGATAGTGAACGCGAGGTGGTCGAACCCGGCTTCAACTTCTGTCCTGTATCTGGGGTACGTACATTCGGCCGATCGGCATTGTTTTGTTTCTTTATGTAATTTATCGGTTCTACGTATGTCTAGGGACGATAACTACACTGCTGGATACACTTATGCAACGTTCCCAGCCGTAGATCTGACATTTACGCTTTAGAAAGTTTGGCGCGACCGTCGCTTACGCACTCTCTGCGTGGAATGAATACCTCCGCGAACGTGGCAGTAACACACGCCGGACAATATTTTTCCCATGGGATGTCCAGCGCAGTTGCAGATATTTAAATCGTTATGAAGTTTTACCGGTTTCGTAGGCGACGATTACAATACCGGAAACTCTATTACATTTTCGAAGCTGTGCTGGACCGTGCCCCAGCGAGTTAAGAGAAAGTCCGAGAGGTCCGCGCTCCAGTGAAACCGTTCTTTTTCCTCTCGGCAATTATCATGCACCATTTTTTCCTTTCGTACGAGCCACGGAAACTTTACATTTCTTTCGCGATGCGTTTTCGCGTGCGTCGCTTAAATCGTACACGTTAATTGCCCGAATAAGTACATTTAAGTGGACGTTTCGCCGATGCACGCAGTGAAAGTGCATTCGTTACCGAATTTATCATTGCTGACTTCCATCGAATCGAATTAACTGTAGCTTCAACTGTTTTCGTCGCCGAATATTTAGTTCGGTGTACTGCAATTTCGATTCGTTGACCTTTATTCGGTACAGAATTTCTAGTTTGAATACGATAAATGTTGTACAACGAAGCTTGTAGTTTACAGATGTTGCAAATTAAAGCGTCAAGGTGGCTAGTCCGGTACAAGCGCGTAGAGATTTTTCGTATAAAGAAGTTTTATTGTATAAATTCGAGGAAATGCGGTGGAATACTCACGCGTTGCTGCGACTGTAGTCAATAAAATTACGAGAGACGTTGCTCCGATCATCTTTGTCTCCTCTGGTTTCAGGCTGGCGGAAGACGATCACGCAATCCTCTAAGGATTACTTCGGTCACTGGACACTGAGAGAAAAGTCGGAGAGTAAATGATACTTTTGGTTTCCTTTTCAAATGCCGCCTCCGTCGCGAAACACTGCAGCTCTTCGGCAACTCACCACGAGGGTATACCCCATTGGTCCCCACTACATCCAATGATTCTTCCCCACTTTCGCCGCGTTTTCATCGGTGAATAACTGTCTAGAATCAGGATTGATCTGGAGGGACCTACGCGCTTTTACTCTTCTTTCTCTTTTCACAGCGTGGTCGTTGTTATTCAGCTTCCTTCTCGTCTCCGCAGAAACGCTCTCACCACGCGTCCTTCTCTATTCTTTAGAGAAAAATCTCAATTATCGCGATCTCCAGGAACGATCGTTGCGGTTTTCCACTACTTCGAAACGGAAATTATCGTCGAACTATCGAGCGTTGATTTTTTTTTCGTTCGGATTTCTCAATCTGCCGTCTTTATTTGCTATTCGTTTCCTTAAATTTTCTATGGTGTTTCGGGTCTATATGACTCGGACCATGTATTATATTTGGCTTATGTAACTCTTTTTAACGCTAGAATCACCAAACCGGTCAAAATTTCACCGATGCCTCCGATTTTTTCTTTCATAATTTCTGACATTATACGAGCAAATGTTTCTTGGAGAAATTTTTAGATGGACCTCTTTTGTTGGCGCATACGAAATCGATTTAATAATTGCAAGATGAAGGAGCTACATCTACATAGACTTCTTTTCACAATAATACTTTGAGAAAAATATTCAATTTTGTTATAAATGCATAGAATCCACAGTTTTTTAATTATAATAAGCGTCGTATTGAGTTTAAATAAATCCAATCTCGCCATTGTTATTACAATATACATTAGTCGGTTAATTGCCATCTTGTTTCAGTCAAAATTTATCCAATTGTGCAAATAAACTTTTACTTTCTTTTGTATTTTTATATTAATTATTATATCCTTTCATATAATAAGCTTAACAACATTTTACTATAGAGCAATTTCTAAAGGTATACGTGTATTTTTTTAATCAGGCTATGTGACATCATCAGCGTGAGATTTTATTAAATTTTTATTACAGCAGTCAGATTGTCGATGTTCGCATCAATCCTTAGATTAAATACTGTAAATTGTTTTGTTACCAAAGACATCGATGTAAGAATATGTATATCTAAATTAACCACTTATGTTTCGATTTTTTTTCACAGCTGCAATCATTTTTCTAATCAAGAGAGAATTTTTCTTTCTTGTACGACTTCATTTAAGTTTGATCCCTAAACTTTAATAACAGAAGAATCAAGTTTTGTGTCGATTTGAAAAAACGAATAATATTCGTACTTATAATTTAACATTTGTAGTTCATAATTTAATTGCTTTCTATCTTATTTTAGTACATTTATTTCTTAATGAAGTGGTTCATTTGAATTTTCTTACGGGCACTTTGTACGTATCTGTGCTTGTTAATCACAAAAAACGTTATAGGTTTATTTTACACTCATTTCACGACTAATTTGATTAATCGTGTTTATTTATATTAACTGTTGCAACGTCTGCTAGTACGTTTCTTTCTCGATTGCTAATGCAGCGATTGAAAACAACGTTAGATTGAAACGAATCTCGAAGGAATTGTGAAATGTGTATCTTTTTCTTAAGATTGTCATTGCGTTACATAAAATTTCATCGAGTCATTAGTTATGAAAGCGATACTAAATCGAATTTATTACCTTGAAAGCCCCGCGTTGCTAACCCACTGTCCGATCAACTAGATTTCGGAAGCGTTTCCCGTGAAATGTGAAGAACTTTCAGGCTTCTATCACTTTCACTCCTCACGGGAAAATTCCCGTGACAACACGCGATTCGAATTCGTTATTAAAGCGAGGGAAAAAGTTGAGTACTTCTGACTGCGTTACAAATATGACATTAATCAGTTCGTTAAGGGGATATTTGTGTCTCGGACCTGCAAAATACAAAATACAGCAAAACTATACGATACATTATACATGAAGGTGCAACACTAAAAATTGTACGAAATAATACATGAAAGTGTTTCGCTAAAAATTGTACGAAATTAAACATAAAGATGTTCTACTAAAAATTATACAAATATTCAACATGAACGTGTTATACTAAAAATTGTGTGAAATTAAACATGAAAGTGTAACATTAAAAATTGTACGAAATCATACATGGCAGTGTTTTACTAAACATTGTACGAAAATTCAACATGAAAGTATTTCACTGAAAATCATACGAAATCATAGATGAAAGCGTTTCACTAAAAATTGTACAAAATCGAACGTAACGGTACTAAATGAGTAACAAAGTTCTACAAAATTGAATGTAACGATACTACAGCACATTTAAACTATCGAAGAATATTAACAAATATATCTTAGATCTTTGTTATCGTTATTGAAGAACCATAGTTTCGGCACTTCGATATAAAATACAGGCAGCTGGTTTAGTAATTACATCTTGCTCATCAAACGTATGCAATTTAGTCAAGAAACAAAGGCAATCGTATTAAAATCGTTTTATTCTCCAGGTGATATTTAAGAAGTCAATGAGTATTAAAATCTACATATGAGTTCAGCCTTAAAACTACGTTGGTTTAGCGCCTTTCCTCCTGCTATGGCCACCAGTTGGTTTCGGTCTCGGCGGTGGATTCTCTAGTGCATCTAATTCCTCGTCGGTCAGCTGACCTTTGTACCAATCCTTGCTGCAATATTGAAACAACAATGGCATCGTTGCTCGCGATACTCCGATTCAGAAATTTGCTTGACCGTGAACACTTACCATTCGGGTATTTTTCTGGCCCAATCGCACTTGCCAGTCCTCTCGTCGAAGGCTTGTCCCAATTTGCAACCGTTTCTCCTAGGTATCTCGCCGTTGACACAGACATAGAAGTATTGGCAATCTTCAGTGTCAGGGTATCGAGGATGCGTGGCAGCCACGGAATCGTCGACCTTCGGGCAAGTGAAATTGAATAGTTCTCTAGAACCGCAGCCCTTCTTCTGCGCCTCGTCGGGCCAATTGCAGATGCCAGTCTTCTCGGAGAAGACCAAACCGTCTGGACAGGTGATCATATTGAACTTCCCTTCGACGCAGTAATAGAACGTGATGCATATTCGTGGATCCTCGTGCGCGAAGTAGCCGTGCATGCGTGGACAATGGGGGGACGGTTGTGGTTTCTCTGTGCGTTAATTAATTCTCGATTACTAAACAGTTGGCGATACATTCATTCGTGACGGGGATGTAACACATACGTAATTTCGGTCGTTTCGAGCAATCGATACCGAAAGGCAAGTCGCATTTCTCGTGCTGAGGACTGAAATCGTTGAATACTAAGCCGTCCGGGCAAAGTTTCTCGATAGGTTTGCCATCCCTGCAGTCATAATACTTATCGCATTGTTCCGCGTCAGGAAAATAGCCGTTGGGTTCAGGACATTGATCCTGAAATTCATCTTCGTCGTATTCTCCTAGCTCTTCCGGGACAGTCTGCTTTTTGTGCAACGCTGGCAACGCTACTTTCCTACGGCTTTGCTCCGCTGCCGCCTCTTTTCTCGATAAGGAAGTAACTGCACCTAAAAAGTTGACAAATTAGCGCGGAGATACTACAGACATGACCTTGGTACATGGAAAAATCGAAAGAAGCGAACGAAAGTTTCAAATAAATTTTCTGTTGCCAGATTAGTCGGCGAAATTTGTGATAAAAAATTTGGTACATAATCTTAAGTACAATAAACCAATTACGCAGCTAATAATCGAACAAGTGATACGTTGTAATTAAGAGAAATATTATCTTTTCTTCAGAATACAACGTTTAAGATGTTGTTTGGAATTTAATATCCAGACCACGAATTTTATGCATTTGGAAGAAAAATAACTAGGAGCAGTTTAAAGTTGTGAGCAAAATAAAATAATTGAAGAGTATCGATGTTTTATTTTCAACTTGTTCAGATTATTAAAGTAAGGATTAAATGTGCGTCTGGCTCCTATCTCTTGCAATTGATCCATAAAATTTTTATTTTGTATAACGATCCGCAGTCTATTAATATTCTAATATCATATTAATAATATTTGTTATTTTATTTCGTATACGCTTTTCTATCGCTGGTAAAGACAAGCTTTATTCTCTTCTTATTTATTTATAAAAATAGAACGAAGGAGGTTCGGAGTCAAACAGCTTTACCAGAAATTATAATATATAAAGAATACTGCAAAGATTTATGATATCATACATAAAATTTTTATAAAACTACATACAATACGACAAATCATGGGGAAAGATTGAATGTCAATTAAAATGCAACAATCTGAATGCAGAACGATTGTCAATGACAAGGAATTTTGAGAAAAAATGTTGACTTTATCTACGCACAAGATTAAAGCTGAATATAAAATTTGGGAACAATAAATCGATAAATAACAATTTTATTTTAATAGTCTGAAACGTGACATGTACATATTACTTTCGTTTTATCCTTTAAATATTATGTATATTCAATATACTTCTGTACAATAATAGTAAGTTTATAAAAGCAATGTTAGTATAGCATAAGAAACAATATTTCCTAAATAATTGATATTTTGTATTAAAATCTTTTTATTTATATTTATATTTAATTTGAGTAAAATCGTCTGCCTAAGAAATTTCATTGTATTTGTTACTTCTTCGTGAACACAAAATTAATCTAACGATGCAAATAAAATGTATTTTAAATTTAAGCCCATCTAATTTCAATGTATTTAAAAAGATATTGTTTTAAAAACGTGCAACAACAATTCAGGTTGTAACATTAATCGCTACTTAAAGAAATCGTGTTATACTCTAACGCTGCAAATAAATTCGGTGCCGATTTAATAACGATTACTACACTGCGTATTTTACGCATTTATAACAAACATGGTTACGTCAAATACAAAGCAGTAAAAGCATTTTAAAAAACTGAAAAATACTATTACGTTATTTTTAACTCAATGAAATGAATAAAGGAGAGAAAGAAGTGTTTATGCAGCTTCTCCATCTTGCAATGAATGCGGACAATTTCTGTTTCACATAAAAGTCCGCAGTCTAATGATGAAACTACAATACGTACAACTCTTTCAGATTATAGAGAATAGAGACTGTGACCGATTCTTTTACATATCGTTTATTTATAGAGCTCACGGCTACGATAAGGTCTCTAATAAACATATAACTGTATAAAAATGTGAACTATATTATATGTTTTTGTAATTCTTGTTGACTGAATATAAATTTTCGTTTGATTACATAATTAATAGACTGCGGATTTTTATGTAAAATACACAAATCGTCTGCCTCAGTTGCAAGAAATATAAACCAAATAGCAAGTTTATTCATTCTTTAATCATGCTAGTCGATTAAATATAATACATTGGCGTTTTTAAATTCTTTTAATCTTTATACTATTTCAAATTACGACTAGCCAATTTTGTCATAAATGCATAAAATCCGCGGTCCAGCGATCATCAACGATCTCGTTCCTGGCTTGTCCTTTGTAAACAATCGATGCTAATAAAATCTCTCGTATTTTCTATTATATACAAGGAGAACACATTCTTCCTCGGACGCCAGCCTAAGAACAAGTTTAATTTACACACATTTTCCCGAGGGAAGGCGTGGTGATGCAACGCGGATGCATTCGCGCCGGCGGCCAGGAATGACAAACGGATCGAAAGGAGAGGAAAAAAAAGGGAAAGAAAGAAAGAGCAAAGAATAAAAACGGTGAACGGTAAGAGAGGGTCAACTAGTCGGAGTATTTTCAAGGCAGCACGGCGTAGCGGCGTCTTGCGTCCCTGAATAAACGCCGGTCGCACGTAAACGCCGCGCCGGTCGACCTCGCGAACGGAAGAAAGCGAGAAAGTGCCCCGACTCCCGTGTATCCGATCGGCCAGAACTTAAATGTCGTTTAATCACTCGGACCTGTTAACTTTCCAACACTCTATATCGATTTCGATTAATTTTTGAGGGCCCCGGACAGGTTTACAGTTCGCCACGTAGATCAAATCTGCCGGTCGAATACATACGTGGAGGCGGATTTTCCTATTTCGGTTGAACGAAATTGTTACTAGGCCAAGGAAATATTTAAACACTGAAACCGTAGACGCGGTCGCCATTGGAAAGCGAATCTGCTTAGACGGTTAATAAATATTGAACAATTTTTTCTCGCCCACGTATCGGCACGTGGACTGGAGAAATGAAACTTTCTATAAAGGTGTAAGGCGCACTGATTTCTCAATAACAAACGATGGCGCAAGTTCTTTCGTGGTCAGGCCGTGATCCCGCGTCGTTCTCTAGCGCATCGCGCGGATCCTGAATAAATCCGTAAACGTTTCGAATCGGTTCAAAATCATTCCGCGTAAGCGTCGTGTAACTTCCATATTGTGTTCTGTTCTTAGAATACGGCTATGCCGGTCAACAACGAATGGACACTGATTTAATAGATACACTCGAGACGAAAGCGCCAACAATGGTGCAACCGAGATAATAAGAATCATTGCAGCAATTAAAAACAACAGTTGCACCGACACCGTGACTACGAGCAGCGTAACAATAAGTCGGCTAAAGGCCGCATTCTCATCCAACGTGCCACTTTTACTTTTCAAAATCCTTTGCGTTCACGGAGCAATCGACGCGTTCAGATTTCGTCGATGGATACAATTGTTTTAATCCGCGAAAACGCGATCGCAAAATCGGTTGTCGTGGAACGAGTATAGAGAGGCCAATCGTTGAAATATTCTTTACCGAAATATTCTTTACTTACCGAGACAGATTAGCAGACAAAATACCTCCGTCTTCATCCTGACGGAGGATGGTAACGACTGGAAAGGGAATCGAGCCTGATCTTTTATCTTGGAATCAAATCACGGTTCTTCGAACGTGGAGGAATTGATGACTAGAGAATACTGGGCCCCATCGAGAGGGTCCCAGAGCCTTATATGCATCCCCCACTTTTCCATCGGCCGGATTACAACACCCGACAACCGCGTAGAAGCATAGGTAGATTCATTGCTCTTGTGCATACGCGCGTCGAACAGGTGATCCGTTAACAACGCATCGGGTTAACTGTACACCGAAACGATAACATCGAAATCCTAGAGGTGTTTTTCTCTCGGTGTAAACGCGACGGTCGTTAATAAAGTCAACGTGTCGCGTGTTCTCATGCTCCCGGAAAGATACTCGCGTGAACAGAAAATCACGTCGATCATTCGACGAACGTTTTGTCAGAGGCTTCTTCCGAATGTTCTGCGAGAAAGCGTGATCGTTTCTACGACGATTCTTCCTCGCGTGTTTCCCAGGGACTCAATAGCACGTTTCCCGGTCCCACCATCCTTCAGGATTCCTTCTAATCCACAGCTTCCGCAGCTCGTCGTACATCAAGATAATTACAGCGTACGGCAGGCCCGGTAACCACCATTCCAGCCTCAAAGGATAAGTCCTGAGGATCTCGTCCATGTACGGCGCGTAGCAGACAACGCACGCCATGATTATTTCGAAAAGTATGCCGAAGTTGAGGACCCAGTTGTGCATGCCCTGATAAAAAAGAGAGTTCCGGCGTGTTTTGCAAATCATCGCGTCGGCCACTTGAACGACCACTATGCTCACGAAGAAAGCGGTGTGGCAAGTGTATTCGAGAATCTTGCGTTGTTCGTGCGTCCATTCTTGGCCGAAACTGTCCTGCATGTCGTTCACTACCACGCTGTCCCACGTCGATCGTAGACCTAGCAGCTTGTCGGGCAAAAAACCGTGCGCCATCATTACAACGAAGTAGGCGAAAAAACCGGCGCAAGCTTCTATTATGCCGATCTGTCCGTAGGCCATGAAAATTAATCGACGACTGACGAGATGGTCCAGATGCGGCACTCTCGGTTTTCTGAAACGCGATTGCAACGTCAGCAATTTATCCCGATTCAGTGATGACGTTAATTAATATCATTCGTTTTTTAGCCTTGTACATAAATTTGGTCACTTCGAAACGAAGTTACAGATGCTTATTTTTTTGTTATTAATGCATAGACAGCAGATCATTATACAAAATGAAAATTGTCTGCATCGATTGCAAAACATAGGAGCCAAACACATGTTCGTTTGTTTCTTTGACAACTTGGTCGGTAGTGGCATGGATTCATTTAGACCTAAAGTATAAGTATTGTTATTTCACTATCTAGTTTCTGACAATTAATTGACATTTATATTAATTTCCTTAAGGTCTATAGAAAAACATACGTATCTTCTTAGACCTCTTCTTAACCTCGAAAAATATGATGAACATAATTGACGAATAATATTAGAAATGATCCTAAGCATGCTGAGTTCTGTTTTTGTTAATATGGTTCGTCGCTCGAGTGTTAATATGTTAAAATTAATATATACATCGATATTCTTAGTTCCTGTTAAACTTTTCACTGCTTTCTGCATGAAATGCATAAACATCGCAGTCTAATTATTAAACCATTACTTCAATTGTAACTGTTTAATATACTTAAAGATAAAGTAAATATTAATAACATCTACTGTGTGAAAAAAACAGTAATATACATATAATCTATTTTTTCGGTGTCGTTTGCGCGCACCAGGAAACGTAATAGTCGTTAGGCCAGATATGTATATCTATGCAAAAGGCGCGTGTTTGTCATTTGTTGCAACTTGACAAGTNAACAACGCATCGGGTTAACTGTACACCGAAACGATAACATCGAAATCCTAGAGGTGTTTTTCTCTCGGTGTAAACGCGACGGTCGTTAATAAAGTCAACGTGTCGCGTGTTCTCATGCTCCCGGAAAGATACTCGCGTGAACAGAAAATCACGTCGATCATTCGACGAACGTTTTGTCAGAGGCTTCTTCCGAATGTTCTGCGAGAAAGCGTGATCGTTTCTACGACGATTCTTCCTCGCGTGTTTCCCAGGGACTCAATAGCACGTTTCCCGGTCCCACCATCCTTCAGGATTCCTTCTAATCCACAGCTTCCGCAGCTCGTCGTACATCAAGATAATTACAGCGTACGGCAGGCCCGGTAACCACCATTCCAGCCTCAAAGGATAAGTCCTGAGGATCTCGTCCATGTACGGCGCGTAGCAGACAACGCACGCCATGATTATTTCGAAAAGTATGCCGAAGTTGAGGACCCAGTTGTGCATGCCCTGATAAAAAAGAGAGTTCCGGCGTGTTTTGCAAATCATCGCGTCGGCCACTTGAACGACCACTATGCTCACGAAGAAAGCGGTGTGGCAAGTGTATTCGAGAATCTTGCGTTGTTCGTGCGTCCATTCTTGGCCGAAACTGTCCTGCATGTCGTTCACTACCACGCTGTCCCACGTCGATCGTAGACCTAGCAGCTTGTCGGGCAAAAAACCGTGCGCCATCATTACAACGAAGTAGGCGAAAAAACCGGCGCAAGCTTCTATTATGCCGATCTGTCCGTAGGCCATGAAAATTAATCGACGACTGACGAGATGGTCCAGATGCGGCACTCTCGGTTTTCTGAAACGCGATTGCAACGTCAGCAATTTATCCCGATTCAGTGATGACGTTAATTAATATCATTCGTTTTTTAGCCTTGTACATAAATTTGGTCACTTCGAAACGAAGTTACAGATGCTTATTTTTTTGTTATTAATGCATAGACAGCAGATCATTATACAAAATGAAAATTGTCTGCATCGATTGCAAAACATAGGAGCCAAACACATGTTCGTTTGTTTCTTTGACAACTTGGTCGGTAGTGGCATGGATTCATTTAGACCTAAAGTATAAGTATTGTTATTTCACTATCTAGTTTCTGACAATTAATTGACATTTATATTAATTTCCTTAAGGTCTATAGAAAAACATACGTATCTTCTTAGACCTCTTCTTAACCTCGAAAAATATGATGAACATAATTGACGAATAATATTAGAAATGATCCTAAGCATGCTGAGTTCTGTTTTTGTTAATATGGTTCGTCGCTCGAGTGTTAATATGTTAAAATTAATATATACATCGATATTCTTAGTTCCTGTTAAACTTTTCACTGCTTTCTGCATGAAATGCATAAACATCGCAGTCTAATTATTAAACCATTACTTCAATTGTAACTGTTTAATATACTTAAAGATAAAGTAAATATTAATAACATCTACTGTGTGAAAAAAACAGTAATATACATATAATCTATTTTTTCGGTGTCGTTTGCGCGCACCAGGAAACGTAATAGTCGTTAGGCCAGATATGTATATCTATGCAAAAGGCGCGTGTTTGTCATTTGTTGCAACTTGACAAGTTCAATATGTACACATTATATAATGGCTAGTGCTTTTTATTCCGAGCGAGTCCAAAAATAATTATATTAAAATTATATCATGGAAGTTTAAAGCGTAAAATAATAAATTGTGTGACAATTCATCGAATTGAAGTTATGCTCTGTACTTATTTCCTGAAAATATTCACAACTTTGTGCAAATTTTATACAAAAGTTAATGAAGCACGTTTTCTAAGTTTTTATTATCATGTTCTCTTTCGTTCTTTCATTTTAGCTTATCCCTGAGCATTGTATATAAGATGATCCATTGAGAGATAACCACCTAAATATCTCCATCAATTGTGATAATTAGACTGTGGATTTTTATGTAAAACTGTCTACATCAATTTCAAAACGTAGGAACTAGGTGTAACTTTCTTTCTCTTTTAAATAATTTTCATATGTTGACGTTAATCTCAATTTCTTTTAATCTATTCACTATCTTATATTTCACCTATTGTTATAAATACAATATACAATATACAATAGGAACGCGTATGATCAATATGTTGCAAAAAATATTTTATTATTGCTGCAATTTTTGAGGTTTTTCAAGATCACTGACTTTTTTTATGCATATATGTATATGTACGCATTTTTCATTTTTAATATTGTAGCTGACCTTAAACTTCGTTTTAAAATATTCATAACACATGACCTTGGTTTCTCAAATTGGAATTAAACATGAATACTACACAAACTGAAAACATTCGAATACGCATGAGTAAAGAACATGCTCAGTTTTGTTAGAGTAACAATTAGACTATGGAACGTTATGCGAATCAAGAGTTAACTAATAATTTAACTGTAGAAAATATAAATGGGATGAAAATATCGTCTCTTTTTCAACAATCGTAATGAGTTGAAAATGATGTGACAATATCCTTAAATTTTCTTCCAATGTCTTTTTAGTTTCGTATTTGGCCTATTCATTTTTGTCATTAACGCATCAAATCCATAGTCTAATAATAATAAATTGTTCACAATGTATTTGTGGAAGATGAAATTGTAAGGTTTCGTAGAAATTTAGTGGATGCAAAAGTGAATAAAATAAACTAATTCGCAGCACTGTACAAATTTCGTACAAGGATTATTAGTAGACTGCGGATGTTTATGCAAATGCATATTTTTATAGAAAATAGTTAAAGCAATGAGACCCGGGCCGAAATATGTTTTATAATTAGAGAATTCGAAAAACGTATTTTTTATTTTGCATTTTTTGCATAATGCATATGTTCTGCATATCTATCTTTAAAAATATATGCAAAAATATACTCCAAATGTTATTTGCAGTGTATGCGTATATATTACGCTTATATGAAAAATCGATCTCGTTCAATTAATTTGACCTATTAGTAAGCACTCGTATCATAACTGGATAGTGCCGATAACAGTAATGTAGCTGTTAGTATTTCGAATTTGATCAGTTCAGTTTGATTATCGAAGCGATAAGATGAATTTTGTGAGAGTACGTTCAAACATTTTTAAAATGCCGAACGTTCAGAAAAGTAGGATTTCATTGATGAAACGCTGGATCGAAGACGATTCCAATTTCATTATTGATGAAAATAATGAAAATTGTATTTATTGTGATATGTGCAATAAAAGTATAAAGTGTAGTAATAACTCTAAGTTTTAAAGAAAAAGATGCTGCTGCCATTATAAGACCGCGCAAGAAGTGCTCCAACAAAATGAACTTATGCAAAATTTAATGTTTATAAATACTCATTAAACATCTTATCAATCACGATTCAAAAATTAAAAACCATAGATTTACCATTAGATCGTTCCACAGGAATGTACATGAATTGTGAAATTCGACTGGAAAGCATCTCTGATGATTGTGGAGAAAAAATTAAAAAGAAAATAAGTGCTACTTCAGAAACAAAAATATAGGATTCATGGAATTAAGAAAAATTTCACATATTTTAAGCGGTGAATTTGTAGAAGAACCGATACATGTACCACAACACACACACTGCTTGAGTAAATTTAGACATGCATCGATAAACATCGTGTGATGTGAAGCGATTATTTTCAGCGTGAAAATTAATTTTTACTGACAAACATCACCAACTAACGCCATCAAATTTAGAAAAAATGATTATAGTTTACTGTAATTTTAAGTACAATACACCAGAATAACTGTAATACTTAATAATTAATAACACTTAATATAGTACATACTCAATATCGGAAATATTTGTATACTTTCTGTGCATATTTTCATACTTTTCGCGCATGAATGTCATATGCTTTTTGCATATTTATCGTGCATGAACATCCGTAGCCTAGTTATAACAATAGGACTAATGACATTTCAAAAATTTTTTATAGAATATCATCGACACCTGAGCATTATATCGGATGCAGACTTCTCGTATGCCAGAGAGACAGCAGGCCACATGTCAGTGCCTAGATCTATGCACAATACACAAATGACGCCTACAGGCAAAGGAATCCCGAGAATGATGAACGCCAAGAAGGGTGTTATCTCGGGTACGTTACTGGCAAGCGTGTACGCGATGCTCGACTTCAAGTTGTCGAATAGTCTCCGTCCTTCTTCTATTCCTGTGATTATCGACGCGAAGTCGTCGTTTAACAGAATTATGTCTGCAACTTCCTTGCTCACGTCTGATCCTAAGGGTAATTAAACATTCTAGTTCACGATATCATTACACACTTATTTAACGCTAGAACTAAAGTAGATGGCCTAGTTTCCGTGCCAGTCGCAATTTCCGTGCCCCCGAATTAAAAACGTATATAAAAAGAAATCAGCCCTGAATCTTACATGCTGATAGATAAACATAATAAATAAAATATAGATCATCAATTTATATATAAAACTTTTCTTTCTCTATACGTTTTTAATCCAAGGTCACGGAAATTGGGAATAAACATTTTTAATAGTGACAAAATTAGATTTATTCAAACTTCGTATTGTTCTTGTGTTATGATATACGCTTGAATAAAAAGTATCTCATAGAAACAATTTTGTGTTAATATCTACGAGAGAAAAGATTAGAAATCTATCATTTCGACTGGTCTGATAGTTGCAGTATTATATCTATTATCGGAAGTTCATAATCATCGATAGAAGATATGTAGGAAGTATTGCAGTTCAATATCTCTAAATCTAAACACGTGCAAAATTTTCTTGTGATAAGCATCATCTGCATACATTTTGTCATTTTCAAAATCTATGTACTATGTACACATTTTTAAATATTTATGCTTTATAAACACATGTTTCTAAACAGCATTCATTTTTGAAACTGAATTTTCATACGAATTGTCATTTTTATATTTCAATTAATAAAAATTGAAATTAAATAACTTTCTTAAAAAATTGGTTTGTTTGAGAACAATATATGTATAATAAAGCCATATTCAATTACAGAACATCAATATTATAAAATACAAAAAATAAAATCCTGGAAAACGGTGCGGATTGAAACATCTGTAAATGCATTGTGAACTTTTGTTCGCGACCGATCTTCAGATAGATTTCAAGATTAAAGCTTCCTCTTTACAATGACCTCTTAAACTTCGATGTACGATTTTGTTTAGTCGCTTTATTGATCTTCGAATGAAAGCTATACTACCTTCTTTACAGTAATACAAGGTACACGAGGACTCTACACGATCAAACATGTTCCACGTTCCCGTTTCATTTAAAGCGACGTGAAAAGATCGTACACGAAGTTTCAAGTGGTCCTTGTAAAGGGGAAACTTCAATCTTCAAATCCGTGGTCGATCTATTCATGAAAAAAAATTTTCAATAATTATAGAGACGTTTCAATGTGTAACATTTTCGAATAAATTCGTTCGTCTTCAGTTTTCCGTTTGCTATGTGAATCCACATTTATTATGATACGACTGTTTTTTACGAGATTATAACAGTTAAAATATCGATAATTTGTCATAAATTTGAAACTCAGTGTACGAATACTTATCGCACTGACTAAATATTGTAATTGAAGAAAATGTTATCGAATTAGCCATAGTGATAATTAAGCTGCAAATTTTATGCATTTATAGTATTATATAAATAAATAGCTGATATACAAAATTGTAAAGACACGAGAATAATTTTTGTATCATTTCTGTTTCATACAATCGCCTTAAGAAATTTTTATTTTGCATAAAGATCCGCATTCTAGTGATAATACTTATTTTATCAGTTCCATTGAATTATTATTTGCAAGAAAATATAGATAGCAATTCATAATATTCGCTTATTTTATAAAAGTGGAAATGAAGGAGTTCAATTATCTGCAGAAAAAAATACCTGCAATGCCCATGGCGATTCCAATGTCGGCCTTCTTTAGTGCCGGCGAGTCATTAACTCCGTCGCCGGTGACAGCGGTAATCAAATGCAGCCTTTGACAACTCTCGACGATTTGCAGCTTCTGCACAGGCGATGTTCTCGCGAAAACTATTTCGGGATAGCTCCTTATAATCGAGTCGAGCTCTTCCGTTTCTAGATCTCGTAATTCGTTTCCCGTCACCACGATCGAGCGTCGTTCGTTCTGATTGTTATTATTTTGCGAAATATCATCGGTGACGATGCCGACGTATTTCGCGATCGCTCTTGCTGTGTCAGGGTGATCACCAGTTACCATGATCACCTTGATTCCGGCACAACGACACTTGTACACTGCATCTGGTACTGTTGGCCTCGGGGGATCCATCATCGAGATCAAGCCAATCTAACAATATGGAGTATCAAATTGCTTATGCAAAGTAGCCTAATTGATCAATCAGCTAATGTAACGTGCTGGCAATAATTTCTATCGTCAATTTCCTAGGTAATACCGTATCGCAAGTTATTGAGAAACAAGATACTCCAAACGGAAATACGGCTTTAGCTATATGTACAAGTGTATAAGAAGTTCGCGAAATTATTTGTTCAGATTTTACCAATATATTCTGATAATTAAATAAATAAGATGATATCTAATTGTAAATCCACAATTAATTTTGAATTGGACATTGAGACTGCATATGTCGACAATAAAAATCAGTGGAAAGAAGTATGAATAAATACAAATTATTTTATTTGTTTGAACAGTGATAACTAGACTGCGGATCTTCATGCAAAATAAAAATTATGTTCATCGATTGCAACAAACGTCAGTCAAACAGAAAATTTCTCATTTTTTAAATAATTTCATTGGGTCGAAAATAATACATAGATGTCCTTAAAATCGTATAAAATTTTCACTGTTTTAAATTCCACTTCCATTCCGTTTATACCATAAATGCGTGAAATCTGCAGTCTAGTGATAACTATTGTAGATGGCAGGTCTTTATGCAGATTCTCATTTTCATACGTCGTTTTATAAAAATTAGATCAAAGACAAGTGTCTTCGTCAACTAAAAGGTTGCTCATTGTAGATTATAACTCGTTTATTTATACGATTTCTTGCATTTTAAAAATCTGCACATGTAACAAATATATAAAGATCTGTAGGTTAGTAATAACTAGATTGCGGATTTTTATGAAATATAAAAATTGACTGCACCAATTTCAAGAATCAGAAAAATAGAATAAATAGCAAGTTCATTATTTCTTCAGACATTTTAATTGCTTAAAAATAATAGATTGATCTTTTGAAATTCCTTTCATCTTTATACTGCAATATTTTTAATTAATTTATTTAGCATAAATGGACCAGTTGTTATTTTAATTTTTCTACAAAAATTCAAAATAATAATAATAATAATAAATAATAATAAAAATAATAAAAATAATAAAAATGTTTAAAATATACAAAGTAAACGCAGGCTAAATATCCTAGCTTCTGATAACTTCTGATAGCTACTGATCTTTAAATTTATTAAAATCATCAATGAAATAGTCAATGTTACATTGTACAAGTATTAGCCAAATTGGCGAATCCTATTCAAAGGATCAGTGTGGAGAAAACGAGAGATGTTGTGATAAAAAACGAAAACTCGGTAGATTGTCTTAATTGATTTTAAATTGTAACTATCCAATTTTGACATAAACGAATAAAATCTATAGTCCAGTAATGACCATGTCTTCTTGAAGATTCCAATAATCTAATGCCAATAATCTATAAAACAGCACAAGTTTGTCATGCATATACATGAATAGTCAATAAAATTAAGTCTAAGGTAGTGGAGCCGGTTACTGTGGGATGACCGATTTCTATTGTCTCTGATTTGTTTTCAAATATAATTAACATTTATCAGACATTTAATTTTTTTTATTAAGGAATAAACAAAATAGAAGCATAAAAAATGAGAAAAATATTTATACGTTCACACATAATTTTGTTAATATATATATAATATTAGTAATAAATAAAATATATAAAATTTATATTATATTAAATTTAAAAAATTGTATTATACTTATAATTTCATTATAATTAAAATTTCAACATTATTTTACTAATAAAAGAAATATGACAATTTTTATGAATGAAATTAGATAATAATTCGAGAATAAACAAAATATAAAAAAAAGCTGTAGTCTAAAAATTCGGAAAACTCGAACTAAAGTGAGAAGTGATATTGCTACGCTTTCATTCCAGTGTAAATGAAATTACTAGTCTCAGGTTCTGAAGTGGAAAGTTTGGGGGATCAGCCTTGAAGATGAAACCCGGTGGAAAAGCAGTAACGGGAAGATCGCGATCAGCAAATCCAAGTACACGTTCGCCATTGTTCGCAAGAATATAACAAGATTCCGTATAAGCTTTCTTGATTTCCTCATCGAGCGCTCTGGTCTCGTTACCGAACGCTAGGGTGGAACATCGTTCGAGAACTTTTTCCGGCGCGCCCTTAAAAGAAATGAAATACTTCTTGCCGCACATGTGAACGTTCGCTTGGAACTTGTCCGTCGAATTGAATGGTATTTCGATGATCTGGAATCAGGAAAGCGCATCGATTTTCTACGTGTCAATTGCGGTATCAAATTCGAACGTGGCTACACATTTAATACCTTCGTGCAACTTTTCCGGTATGTGTCTGCGCCACCTCTCACTAGAACTTCCATACATTTAAGCAAAGCGGCGTCAGAAGCATCCCCAAAAATTTTTCTTCTATGCAAAGGTGGCATTGGTAGGTCTTCAGGCAAGGGAACCCATTCTGCTCGATTACAGAGACTAGCTACTTTAGCTAAGTTGTGGAATCCAGGTCTCTTCAAATATTTCTTCCATGTATCCGACGCCATTACTTCTCGCAGTTCACCGTCATACCACATGTGTCGAACCTAAGGTATTTTCTTTAGGTTTAGAACTATTAACTTAGCATTATGGAACAGTTTGGATTTATTTAATATTATTAACAAAACCGTAGGAAACACACAATGATTGTTAATATATTTTCTTTGTTTACTTAATGAAACCGAATTTGAAAATTTGATTAATATGACATGTATTTTAATACTGTTGCTACAGTTAAACTATTATCTAACAGATATATTCCGTTATAACAAAAGTGTTACAAACGATGTGAAACATGTACAAGTTCTGACCACTAAAACTGTAAGAATAATAATTTTTATAAATAAACAAAAATAAGGTATGAATTCTATGGCATCGTTATTCGTTTTTAACAAATTAGGAAAGTAGATGATAAATCATGATAAAGCACACGAAAATATTCTACATTTTTTAATTTGTATTTCATAATGTATAATTGATTGCCCAGAATTGAAAAGATATCTTAAACAATTAAAGTTCGTGATATATATATAAACGTGTGCTCTCTGTGACAATACTTTACTTGTTCGAATGTTTAAATATTGAACCGCGTTATATTTTAATTTATATTGGTACAAAAAGATCAGTCGATTTTTCCTTTTTTCTCCATTTTTCGATTTGCTGTACTCTACGATCTTATTGAAAAAACAATCGACGATCTATCCTTCTCTTTAGCTAACATCGTGTACTCGTTAGCTAACATCAAGCTTTATCCATATGAAATAGTTGCCATTTGATTTGACCTTTCGTTACACAATTGAGTAAGGAAACTTCTATCTCTGTGAAATTTAATATTTAATAACAACCAACCTATTATATAAAATTTCATTATTTCATTCTCATACAAGTGCAACAACTATTGCTTACGGATATACATTTTATAGACTTCAAAAGTAATCCGGCTAAAAAGAATTAAAATTATTCCTTGAATCATTCGCCTGAATTGTAGTTAAAATGTGGTAATATTTTCTTTTCAACGTCTCTCTATTTTTACAACTTCATGAAGATTCTAAACGCCTACGCGCGCAAAATATTTCGCGATAGAGTAGTAAAAATCGAGAGAATATATTAACTGGTAGGTTCCTTAAGTTTCGTTAGTAGGCATATCTAAATAGAATGGCAAAAGGAAAAATTCAGCCGAAGGGACACCAAGCTTACGGTCATTTTATTTTGAGTGAGCGTTCCTGTTTTGTCGCTGCATATAACAGCGGAGCATCCTAGCGTCTCAATAGCCTCGAGATGTTTCACCAGACAATATTTGTTTGCCATTCGTTTAGCCGTTAGTGTGAGGCTAACCGTCATTGTGGCTTGTAAACCTTCTGGCACATTCGCGACTATAATGGCGATAAAAAACATCGTCGAATCGACCCAATTGTAGTCCATGGTTACCGACAGAATGAAAAACAGTAGTCCGAGGAAAATGGCCCAGGAGGAAATTAATTTCATAAACCGACGAACTTCGCGGGAGAGCGGCGTCGGTCTCGGTGTCAATTTCGATGTTAATTTAGCAACTCTCCCCATCACGGTATGGTCACCGCAGGCGACTACGACTCCCTTTCCGGTGCCTGTTATTCATCGATCGTACTTTGAAGAAAGCATGCCAGAAACGAGTTTTGAATCGGCAATGAACAATTTTTTGGAAACTTCGTTTATTTATCGTACCTTCCACCACGTTCGTCGAAAAGAAGATCATGTTCTTAGCTTCGAGGACACTGGTCGTTGCCGTCGCGCTTGCAGTTTTTAGGAGTGGCGTTGATTCACCGGTGATCGAAGCATTGTCCACTTTCAGACCTTGAAATGCAATCAGAATATTTTCAGAAACGTGAACAGTGAGCACTGACGGACTAAAATATTCGCGCACCTTTCAAAACCTAATAACTGGACCCCGGATGTTTATGCAAATTTATGGGACTTGGACAGAAATTTCTTTTATCATTTTTACGTACATTTTATATATTGCATATTTTTTGCACGAATCTGTCTCATTTCTGCATATTTCATACACGTACGATTGGCTAAATTTTAATACGTTGGGGAACACGGTTAGGAGCGAAAATGTTTTACGCAAGACTGGTCCGTGCTATCAAAGAGCTAACAATTTTTCGTATTGTTTTATTTAGATAACTAAGATTAACTGCACCATTAATTCTACCCAAGATAATCAAGTTTTCATTTATTTCCAGCTTGTCGAAAACTTTGAAGAAAATGATGCAGTGCGCGTTAGAGCAACACAACAGATTTTCAAGAATGAAAATCGTACCGACGATTTGGCTTTCATTGAAGCTGATTTCCGCATTTTACATGCTGCTACAATGAAGTTAGAATCGAATGCATTAGCATTAAGTGCTTCGATTCGCGTGGTTTCGAATTTGGTTAATAAGTTCCCCTTACTATTTGTGGCGAAAAAGTAAATGAAAAACGTAAATATGTTCTAAAAAGAAATTCTGATGAAACTGCTGAAACTCTAGATGAAGTAAAAACACAATATATTGGAAGAAAATATACGTATGCTTCTATCACATTCCGTGATGTTGAGAGAACATTAAATCAATTTTATCTGATAAAAGGCACGAATTGGCAGACCAGAATATAGAAAAAAATAATCGTAACACATTGTAATGCAAATTACGTTAAATAGTAGCAGGTACAGTAGTAATGGTAGCAGCAGTCAGTAGTAATAAATAGTGCGGATAATAAAACAATTTGCATTGTAGTTTTCATATTTTTTGCATATATATTTTATATTCCATGAATATGTTCTTCATTAATTTTGCATATATTCTGCATATTTCGATGTATAAATTTTGCATAAACACCCGCAGTCTAGCAATAACTTTTTTTAAAACTAGGCTAAATGACTTGAATTTTTGTTAAATGTCAGAGAGACTAGTTTACTGTACAATTCCTATTACTTGGAATGACAAAGAAATAAAAAACTCTCATTTTTTTAACTTTTTCATTTGAACATATATAACGAAAATTTCAATAATGCGTTTTGTAGATCTCGGTGACTTATATGCAGGTTGAAAATCTCATCGAAATCAGTTAACGCAGAGTCGAGCTACAAGCGTTGAAGAATGTAAAAATCTGCAGATTTCTTAGTTATCGATCGAAAGTGTAAAAAATCGTGACAAAAATTTACAGCTCTTGCCAAAGTCAATAGTTATAGCTGTAGATAAAAGAGTCGAAAAACCGCGGACTTCATAGTCTTTTTTCGTCTTTCGAAATAAACTAGTCCCTGTGAAATTTAAACAAAATTCAAGTCATTCAGTCCAATTTTGTAAAATTATTGCGTTTTAAAAAGTGTACGAATAGTTTAGTCCATCACTGTAGGTGCCCTAAGAATATGAAACGGAAATCGGTTTCGTGAGTTAACTATGACTAATGTTATAGCAACTTTATTGAGTTTATAGACTGTTATGGACCAGTTTTATGAACAGACACTGCAATGTGCTAGCAATTTATCGAACAATTTGAATAATTCACTACGCAGGCATTTCACGGTTCTGTAAATTGGATTTATAAAACACAAAATCAATGCGATACGTCGAGCGTTAACGGAGAGAAAGGCGAGGACTTTTTTCTTGAGAAATAAGAAAGTTAAGTCTGCAACTACAACAGATACGAATTTACCTTGACATTCCAGGATCCTAATGTCAGCGGGCACACGGTCTCCGGTTTCTATAAGGACAATGTCCCCAGCCACTAATTCGGCTACACACAGCTTCCTTTTTTCACCGTCTCGCAATACCGTCGCCCTTTGCGGCACCATTTCCTGAAACGACTCCATAATTCGTGAACTTTTCGATTCCTGATAATGACTGAATATCCCGGTAATTATAATCAGAGCAACCAGCACAATACCGAGACTCAAATGATCGTTCGATGCTTCGCCGTTAATCTCATTTTCCAAAATATAATTACACAAGCATAGAATAACTCCGATCTGAAAATTGGAGATCATTAAAATCTATCGAGATACGTATGCTGTACCATACATTGGGCACTTTCAATTCAAATAGAAATAAAAGATAACTATCTGAAATTATTTATATGAAATTATTTTGCTACTTCTTTCATTCAAATTGACCAAAAGAAATAATGCGGAAAATAATAATGGACTTTATTTCATAAAATCTTCACAATAATTTGTTACAGGCAAAAGCCAGCCCCAGTAAACTAGCCCCAAACATTAAAATTAACTTCATAATTATTTCAAATAATTATAAAATAAAATAACATGTTATTTGAAATAATATTTCAAAAGAATGTCATTTGAAGTGTGCCTAGATCTGAATTGATTTTAGTTCTCGGTACGTGCAGTGTTAAAATATCGATCCGCCATCGACTCAGGCTGAAGAAACTACGAGACTGGTTCCTTTATACGTAATTCGAACGTCTTCATCCGACACGATAGGTCTCGACGCAACGCAAAATTCCTTCCCGCGTTAACGCTTCGGATGCTTAGAAATATTTCGTACATGTCACGGCAAGCTTCTCCTATTCCTCGTCGGATCGAAAGAATGCAAGTCATTCTCGGATTATGTTCTCCCCGTGTTCCGCATGCTTGATCACGCACCTTCTCCTGTTTCTCAATTCCTGTGTAATTGGAAGCCTGTGTTTCATCCGAAATGCTCCATGATTCTCCTCTTTTGGGGTAAGACTCGCCTATTCTCTACGAAAGCAGGCGTCGCGTTGGAACGCGTCGTCGTCGTCGCCGTCGTCGACTCAGCCTTTACTTTGCCTCCAACCCAAGCTTCGCTTTGTGAGAACCATCCCAGACGCAACGAGTCCTGGACTTCCTTCGCGTTCCGTGAATTACCCTTTTGTTCTCCGCGCTTCGAAAATCGATTCTTGGATTAAGGTTCCAGCAAGCAAATCAGGCCTTAACTATTGGATGCATGGTTGCGGAAAATATTTTGCACTTGTTGTGACTTATGCCGATATATTGCCTCTTCGTGTTTCATTTTCTTAAAGTCTAACATTTCAGAAACGTGTTTGTAGAATTTTATACTCCAATTCAATGAAATGACAGAGAGATGCCAACAATATTGTAAGTGCATCACTGTGTGCATGTCTCAATTGTTATCAGTAGACTGATAGGATTACAGACATATGAAATGCAAGTACAGAGCTTCATAAATAACGTTTAATATAATATCATAGCTCCATAAATAATGTTTAATGTAATATAATACGTACAAGATGTAGACAGGAAATTTATAACAGAAGGGATGCTTTTACATCGAGAAATATTAACGACTAGTAAACAAAACATTTGGAGTTGCTTTGTTGCNCGCACGAATGTATAGTAACATTTTTATATTTAGCATGTGCAGGTAAAATATATTTATAACTAGACTATGGATCTTTATGCAAAATAAAAATTGTCTACATCGATTGTATAAAATAGGAGCTAGATAAAAATGTATTCTTTCTTTTAACAGTTTTAACAAATTGAAGATAACATAACGATATTCATAAATTATTCTCGCGTGTTCAATGTTCCGTATTTCCTTATCCATTTTTGCCATAAAATACAAAAAACAATTCTCC